TGAGTCACAAGCCGTGACTGAAAAAATTCAATCGAGGGTTAAAACGGCAGAAGTGGGTTTCTGAAATGAATCACTGGGCTAACGAGTCTCGACATGGTCCGGAATACCGACATTTGCGACACCGTTGGTGTAAGCATCTGCTTCTCCAGATTGAGAAGTCACAGCTCCGATGGTTCGGGCACGTCTTGCGGATGTTTCCAGTGATGAAGGTAAAACAGTTGCTATTTGACCCCCACCTCCCGACAGACCGAAGATTTTGGCGACAGCCAGTAACGACCTTTGGGAAAGTGCTTCGACTGATTCTGCTCCAGACTTTGGGTTATCTTCTGCTGAAGCTCAAACGCTGACAGAGAATCGAAATGATTAGAGATACTGCATGACACATCTGCCTCCTTGACCCGAAAGGATGGGCGATCATCGAAACTGACTGACTGAAGCTTTGAGTACAGCGAACACCTCAAAGCGGTGACATGCAAACAATTCAAGGTGATGATCTCAACGATGACAAATGAATGACTGAAATTTTGAGGTTCATCGCGCATCCGATGCCAGCAATTATCTTTTGTAACTCTCTGACAGTTCGACGTCATTTTCATGCGTAAAGTATGGTCTTTTCTCTTTGGTCCTCTCCGTTCATTCGTTCTCCTCAGCTGCAACCATCTGTAAGCCCCGCATTCCGTAATTGTCTCAGATCATTTTCTTTCTGGATCCGCCCTTTTAAACTTACTTTATTTTTAGCCTGTATAATCTCAGTTTCTTTTCTTGAAGCTTCCAAGCATATTTTTGTTTCAGCCTGTTAAAAATTGATGCTCTTCTTATCATGTTCCTGCCATGATTGGAAGGAGTCACTCGCTGTTTCACATTCTCAGACGTACGAACAGCTAATGGTGCTTATGCAGATGCATACAAGGAGAGTGAGTCCCTGAAACATCGTTCATAATGAGTCTAATGTTGCTTTATCGGACAATATGATGCGACATGCATCTGGCACGGTAGGTACTCCAACACCATGGAGTCCGGCTTGCTTAAGTGTCCTCCTTATGCAACTATGAGCAAGGAGGTGGTGCAATTCAGCATGGGTAGTAGTCATTCGTTATTCCAACCATATTGTTCATTTCGTTACTTCGAATTCCTTGAAATCAGGGTCCCTGATTCCTTTTAAATAACCCAGTCTTGGAATCCCTGCTCTGACTTACCAGGCTGTCGTCCTCTTTCGCCAGTTCATAAACTTTTATTTTATTTTTAAAGGGACATACCTCATGTCTCGTTAAAAATCACAGCACCGTGTCTTGCACTATCCTTGTAAAGTGAATGAAACTAGTAATTTCCATTGTTCGTTCTCATGTGTAGATTGTGAGTCTGAGTGCGGCGAGGGGGCAGGAAGTAGGAGGTAATGGTGCAGCTGGTCGGTAGTTTATCTTGCATGTTAGAGGTAACAGTTGAAGCTCCAAGCTGGGCATAACAAGATCTATTATCGACTGATAAAGGCAGTAACTATGCAACAGCATGGAGAAAATGATGCGATATCTTGTTTGGAGTAACGTCATGCCAGAGTGAGCAATACATATGGCATTATTGACTGATGCTCACAACCGAAGGCTGGAATGAGCCCTTACACAGATTTTAGTGAACAAACAAATAGCTCCAAGGTGTAAACCATATATAATAAATAAACGTAAATCGTAATAATCTTATGTAAACCGTAAAAACATATAGATAACAACAAACAACTTTTAGGTCCACCTTTCTACCATGATTTTAAAGTCACGCTTCACAGCACTTTTTCATTGATCCTGAAACCATGGCACCTTCTGACACCATTGAAATGCCGTCGTTTTTCTCCCGAATATTTTATGAAACCCAACGATGATTGTCTGCTTGCTAAAAACCCTATTCGTTGGCTGTCAAGTCCTGTCAAGAGTCTGGCAACAGTAATCTGTAAAATCAAATTCCGAACGCTTCAACCTGCGTGTATTCCGGCTCTCTAGCGAGGTCCAGCTTTCTCATTTGCAGCTTGCCGCTGACCTGATCTGATATCTGACAACCATAAGTTTGCAAGCTTTTAAACCTGCGATTCGGATTGCCTCAAAAAGTTTCAGAAGTGCTTTTCGTGTTGCCTTATTTATAGTTATACAGTGGTACCTCCAGCCACGAACTTAATTCGTTCTTTGACTCCGTTCGCGTGTCGAAACAGTTTTTCCCATTGAAATTGGTGTAATTTCAATTAATCCGTTCGCGCGCCCCAGAAACATGGTTTGTTGACTTTTCTTATGGATTTATGTGTGGCAAAAATATTTAATATAAAACATACAGCACCATAACTTTACCTCCTTTGTGATTGATAGTTACGGGAGGTAGAGGAGGAGAAGGAAGTCTACTCCTTCGAAGGAGAGTCCCATTCCATAATAACGTCGGGCAACTGCGTAGGCATTTCTGGTGTTTTTTCACGTGTTTGTATCCTGGGAAGTTGTTCGACTGCTTCCTCGGTGGCTGGTGTTTTCACAAAATAACGATCCAGAGACATTTGTCTTTATCTTTGGACAGTTTTCCGAAAATGGGACATCACATTGTCATTTAAAATGTCCGCAGCTCGGCTGGTCACAGTTTTGTTAGGGTGATGTTTCTCAATGAAAGCCTGCACTTCACTCCACTAGCTGAGAATTTCTTTGATCTCAGCACTTGAAACATGTGCCACCTCTTCATCCTGCTCTTCTGAGGGGTTCTCCTGCATAA